CATTTCATACAAATACAAACACTTTTTTTTTTTAACTCCACGAGGAGTAAACTATCGGTATGGATTTTACCGATAACTGGCTGCTCTAGCAATCAGTTATCGGTACCGATAAATCGGCAAAACCTGACCTCTATTATTTATGATTGGACCATCTATCATGTTGTCTATCATAATGTCCCTGGAAGATGGAGAGAAGCGGATGAAAGATTGATAATAGGGATGCACCGAATGTTCGGCAAACCGAAATTATTCGGCTGAAAATAGCAAAAAAAAGCTCTTTCGGTGTTCGGCCGAATAAGCGAAAAGACCGAATAAATTGTACCGAAAAATGATATGACGCGATCAAATAGCAACCAGCGCAGAGTGAGAGGCGCGCACTGTTTATAATGCAACACACACGTCAGCAGTGTGGAAGCATTTAAACTGTCGGAGAAAGACGCAAAAATCATTACAAGCACCGACAGCGAGAGCCTGTTTAGGACTGCAGCGCATGTCTTCGATGAGAAGAGGAAGGGGTGATTGTTGCTGGTTACTGTACGATGATTGAAATCGTGAAATGGCCTTAATTAGTAAATAACTGCAGAATGTTATGTTTTCTAATACACTCACGTATTGCATGTATTCTGACAGCGGTGCTATCTGCTTGTTAACCAGGGTTTAAAGTCCAAAGCGTGAGGAAAATCTGCGCTGATACACTCGTCCGTTGATCAGTCACATTGTTATGAATTTTTACAAGGCATGTGACAATGCGATACGTACGACGTATTCGTAATGAGACTCATTTATAAATCTGTTATCAACAAAAAGAAGCATTGAGGTTTTCCTGCGCGTTTCTGCCAAAATAAAAGTTGAGAAAAAGCAAGAACTCTTATCAACATTCATAAATGTTAGTATTGTAATTTTACTGTAAAATAAAATAAAAAGACAATAATAATGATAATAGTCATTACAACAGCTCTGTTTTAATACATTTATTATAACATTCACACAGTGTTCAAATTAGGATCTGTAATATTTTCTAAAGTTAAAAAAAGAGTCTCTTCTGCTCAGCAAGGCTGCTTTTAATTGTACAGTAAAAAAAGAAAATGCATGCCTGATTCAAGAAGGGGGTCTGATGGCCAAATATGATTATTTTACTAACTTATTCATTTTAAGTAAAATTGTGCTTTGTTGGTATAGTGTCTGCTAGCATGTTCAGTGTTAAATATTTTAAAATTGCTGTTTTGTAATTGATTTTTTCTCTTTGAAAAGCAAGACAAAACAGTAAAAAGCACATTTTGGCTTTTTAATTTATGCAATGGTGAAAAAATGGGGAAAAAAAACTCTGTGTTCGGTATTCGGCCCAGTGTTTAATTTTGTTCGGTTTCGGCCAAGAATTTTCCTTTCGGTGCATCCCTACTTGAAAAAAGTGAGCAAATGCTGATATCAGCCGAAAAAGAAAACCATTTGAGAGATGAAGCAGTGATGTTGTTTTCCATTCGAACAACATCACTGATGAATCCTTCATAATCAGACCAGGAATCTGAATTAAGAGTCTATAAAAGCATTGCTACTGTAGGTCACGTTTGAGTTGTTCATTACAAGCGTTTCTCGACCGTAAAGCCATTAGAGAGCAGCAGCAGCCCTGCCTTCCCTCCGTTTTAATGGAGGCGCATCGGATTTCAAGCATCCTTCCTCATCAGCTCTATAAATAGAGCGTGAAACAGGAGCAAACGCATCAGGAACATATAGTTCCCATCGGCCGCGGGTGACCCCGCACGCAAACAAAGCCCGGATGTGGGCGGCAGTGACCCGTGGAGTGGACACGCAGAGATCCTCCTCGTCTGAAACGAGCAGCAATACTGTACATTTCCATCGCTTTTGGAAATCAGAGAGTTTATGGATGGTTTGAGACTCCACAGAAGGCACTGAGCCCATCGTTAGAAGCTCAAAGGCCTTCATTAGTATAGACTAGTGACGGTTACTGCATTGACAGATATTTAGCTGTGAGCCAGAAATGTCCCGAACACAGAAATGAGTCGACTTAAAGAACATAAACGACTCGACCTGAGGTCCAAACATACATCACGTTATCTGCGGGTAAAGTTCACATGCATCTGCCGTTTTGAGGGCTGAAATGACCTTATAAGAGTGGACAGCTTTATTAAATCAAACATGCATTTTAATGCATGCTTTAACTAAATATGCTCAATACAGGTCAGATTCTACACAAGACATTTTTTAGACAAAAATCTAATAAAATCGGACTTAAAAAAAGGTTTAATCGTTTGTAATCGTTAAATACAACAAATTGAAAAATGAAATACAATTTGTAAAAACCCAATCATATACTTTTATAGTTTTTATTTATATTTCAAATCAGTTTTTGTATTTTAATTTTAGTTCAAGTTTTAGTAATATTGTGGAGTTTTGTCATTTTAGTACGTCAAGCTCAATTAACATGAAAATGTTTTTATTTTATTTCTGTTAACATTTAAGAAACATTTTAATGGTTTTAATTTTAATTTGAGTTGACTATAATGCACCTAAATTTTGGTGACCAAAAAAAATTAGTCCAAAACATAAATAAATAAATACATTGATTCAACAAAATACATTTTGGTTCCAAAGGGCCAAAGTCATCGACTGAAATAGTGGCATTAAATTAGCGCTTCTCTGATCAAAGTTGAAATATGTAAGGTTTGTTTGGCTGAAATATTGACAGGTGAGGACAAACGCTCAATTATCCAAACTTTATGTCTCTGCTTTCGGCTACATGCAACTTTAATTTTATTTAAAAAAAAAAAACATTTGGTGCATTAATTTATTTATTTATATGCATCCACTACACTGAACAAACATACTTGATTTCACTGTGACTTGAGGTTGAAACTGAGTGCAGTGCGTAGAGAGAATCCATGCTAAATGTTTGGTCATGATAGCGTGAACCCAACGGTCCCCAAAGGCTGATCTGCACTCATGCGTGTCCTGATGTGATGTTAGCATGTTCTCTCAAGCATCACACGCATCAGCAAACATGTGCTCTGTGTAAGCGCTTTACTACACAGAGAAGAAATCTGCTCTAAATGACAAAATACCAATCTTTCCATTGATGTATGGTTTGTTAGGATCGGACAATATTTGAAAATCTGGAATCTGAGGGTGCAAAAAAATCTAAATATTGAGAAAATCATCTTTAAAGTTGTTCAAATGAAGTTCTTAGCAATGCATATTACTAATCAAACATTAAGTGTTGATATATTTACGGTAGGACATTTACAAAATATCTTCATGGAACATGATCTTTACTTAATATCCTAATGATTTTTGGCATAAAAGAGAAATGTATAATTGTGACCCATACAATGTATTGTTGGCTATTGCTACAAATATCCCCCAGCGACTCAACACTGCTTTTGTGCTCCAGGGACACATTTCATCCGGCAAACTGTTTTAGCCATAAATCACCATCAAGCATGAATGTCAAATGCCAAAGTCTCCTAAACTCATTCTAGACTCCTAAAGTTTTCACTGAAAACCTTCCCTTCCAATTCAGCTCTCGAACCTGATTCTCCATTTCACATTCAGTTCAGATTTTCCACTCGAGAGCATGCGCAACACCAAACCTCTCGTTAGTTCATCTGAACACCACACAAATGAGATCTGAGAGCTGTGGAGGAAGAATTTTATATTTGCAGACATGAGGGCGAGTAAATAATGACATCTCTATTTTTGGATGAATTATTCCTCTAATACGTGCAATGAAAACATTAAATATCAATACAGAACTAATTCTACACAACACTCATGTTTGAGATCAGATATGTGTCTTATATCCAATAATTTATTATAAATATGAACTTGTTTTCAACTGAAATAGTTTTTTTTAGATTGCCGATATAACAACTTAGAATAGATAACTGATATAATGCTGATATATACAGTATATATGTTATAGATGTTGATATATATGTACATATACATACATGCTTTTTACCTAAAAATATATTTTAAAAAAACGTTTAAAAATCCTTATTAATATTGGCTGTTAATTGGAAATTAAATAAGGTAGCAGGTTGTTGGCTGATGCCGATAATCTCAAAATATCGGTTAAATATCAGCCGATATATCGGTTGATTATCGATATGGGTAATAATTCAGACTTGGATCTGGTCTCTGATTGGACAAACCTGCAGCATCCAAACTCATTCACAACATCATAATATGAATGATTTAGAAATAATGTATTAATTCAGTTTATAGATCGGGAGTTTTTAATCTGGCGTCCTTA